GAGAGCAGAATTGGTGGCGTGGAGGTGAAGAGAGGTGAGTTTGTGTGCAGATAGTAAAAGATGTATGGAAGAGGCAGCGGGGGTTTAGATAGGGATCTGCTCACCGCAGAGGTCAGGAAGATTCTTCCACTAACACAGCCGGTTCAGTCCACACTCTTAACCGCTGATCCCCCCCTGAACACACCCCTTCCTCACTGAAAACACTATTTGTTGAAGAACCTCATAAACATACATGCATTTAGTCTAACCTTGATAAAAAAAAATAGGGTGGACAAAATATTTGAAACACCTCTCAGTATAAAGCAATACAGTTCAAGAGCACCACAAACTACAGTCTCAAAAATGACTATAAAGTTTAATCAACACCTCTTTTAAACAGTTTCAACAAAAAAAAACAGAACATTATACTCTTCATGAAGGTAGGATTCATTACAGGGCCGATGTATTTGACCGCATTCATTTCAGTTAGATGAAGTAGCAACTGGGTGTGTTTCAGAAATGCAATTATGCTAGAATTCCTTTGAGCATTATTGTAAAATGCTCTTAATGATTTAATTTCCCGGTATATTCCTTTGCACTTTTTAAATAAATTAGTTGAAGTTTTATCACTTCAGCTTTGCCAGAAAGGCAAAGTAAATATGGTCATAAATTAAGTCAGCCAAGTCATGTGGAATGGATCTGAGAATATCAAATATGCACATACTGATACTTGGCATCTAGGCTCTGACCTTGTCACTTCTCTCAAGAATACAACAAGCTCAGAGGAGATTCAGAGAGTGGAGATAATTAGTGATATTGCCAAGCACATAAACACCAACTGAAAAGAGCCAAGAGATCTGCTCATAGTCCAGGTAGCAAAACTGAGCTTGTTGATGCGAATTAGTGATCCTTAACATTTCTGCAGTGAGTCACCGCAGACACAAGCTGAAACAGAAAAACCTCTGAAGGGACATGATGAGACTATTTTTTTGTGAGAGTGGGCAGCTTTGACAACTTAAAAGTTCTGCCTTATTGCAAAGGGTGTGTTGAATAAATGTTGCAGCAAGTGTCCAACTTGTGAATGTAGCAGTACAACTGGCCTGCCTGATCTAGCTTGCAGGCTTTGCTCCATTAAATTTTAACCCTTTAGGCTCTCCTTGCCTTATACAACTGTTAGGAGATGCCTGGGTTGTTGCTGTTTTGGGTTTGCTTGGACCCTTGAACTCATTGACATTCTTCTGTTCCTTTATAACTTGGTCTCAATACCTCTTTGTGGCCACCTACAGAGTGAACTTAAAATAAGCAGATTGAAAAATAGGCTGAATGATTCTCTGAATCTTCAGTTCTGTGGTTGTGTTCAGTATTTATGTTTTACAAGTTACATTAATCAATCAGAAAAAATTACTCTTGTAGTCAGTAAAAGCAAAATGAATGTCCTTCTCTGCTAAGTGGAAACCAATAGGTCTGTCGGTCTCTGGGTAGGTTGTGGTGCCTTCGTTCTATTTTAGATCATCTCTCCACAACAACAATCTGCTGTGACCGTAAAGGAAGCCGCTTTTCAGCATGTAACCTTCACGTCAAAATGACACAGGAAAGGTAGATGTCTGCAAACACATGCTAGGCTTTCACACTAAACCAAGACTCAACTCTGAGAAGAGGTCTTTTTGAGGTAAATGTTGGATATAGCAAAATGTTTTAAAATCTTTTATGAACACATGTGAAAACATCGGGGTGTTAAATCTGTATAGAAAAATATAAATAGTTAATCTGACAAAAATATTGTTAAAAAAATAAATAATAAAATGGCAGCTGAGGACACTTTATCCATGGGTCCACAGCACTGACACACCCTCGAGATGGTCACAGATTGGTTAGGTTTAGGCACACAAACCTCATGGTTTGGTTTTAAAATAAATATGTTAACCCAGGAAGTTATCTCAGGGGTGTGTCACCTAGTGAAGTTGGAGTGTAAAACTGCAAATAGACCCTTCTTGCTGGGATTGACTCCCTCCCAGCCGCACCCACAAGGATAAGCGGATGTATGAATGGATGGATGGAAAAAAGATAGCACAATGAAAATACAGACGGGTGACAATTTAAAGAAAAAAAACAACACAAACCTTCTAGCCTTTAGAAAACCTCTTCATTTTCCTACAGGTGTTTAATTCATTCACATCATTTTCATTCTCATCAAACGGTTCAGTGACTCCTCGTGTCCTAAATGAGAGCACCTGCCTTTGTAATGTTTCTCAATCCTTCAGTTTTTTCCTCTAATTTGTCACCCATCTGTACATTGCCAGTGTGATGTGGGCATCATAAGATAGCCATCCCATTATGGTCTTATAGTGTAAGCTGTAGGGTATCCACAGCCACCAGGAAATATGAAAGAGACTATGAAAGTTAAAAGGAACTTGATATGCTAGAACTTTCTCTTTTACTTGTAACCCTCTTCTTCCCTTTCAAATACTGCAGTCCCCCTTTGTCAACATGTGGCTCCCTTTACACACAGTAATTCAAATAGTCTGGGGTTTCTGCTCTAGTGTATGGTGACCTACTAGTGGTTTACTGATTTAGGCAGTGCACAGTGAGGTACAGTACTGACGTGGATACCCTGGCGTGCAAACAAACAGTTGCACAAGGACCACTGTGCAGAGTAGGTATGCACATAAATACACCCCCTCAGTCTGAATCAGAGCTGTACTGTTCGTTCTGCACTTCAACACACGTAATCATCTGTCTGAGAGCCTCATTCAGTTTTTGACAGTTGGGTAACAGATTTGTGATTTTTCAGACTTCAGTTGCTGCAGCCACAGCGCCTCTGCAGGTGAAATCCGTCAGCTGGCGTAAACACTTAATGCCTTTACAGAATTCTTGTACTTGTTTCAACTCATTAATGCATTCACACCTTTCGGCTATGTTTACACCAGTGTGTGTCTTAATAGCCCTTATTTCATAGAAAGCCTTTGTGTCTGTATATAAAACAGCAGGTCGTCAGGCATCCCTCTGTTTTACTGTATGACTCATAATGTGACAGACACCTTCATATTTACAGTGATGGCAACCAACCGCAGAGCTCACCTGTCTCAAGAAACTCAAATCATCCTGGAAAATGACTCATTGTTTGTTGTAAACATTGCAAATGTTGCTGGGGGCTTCCCCAATGAGCTCATCATAAACACATTTGTTTTGATCTTGGATTGAAACAGTCTGGATGGGACAGGACAGGGTCTGTTTCTATGACCTCCTCCCTTCTTAGTTATTTTCTGTTGACATGTCTTTCTAAAAGCATGTGAATGCAGCAGGCCTCTGTTAGTCTGAACTGTTTGCGACAGGATAGTCCAAGGTCAAAACAACCGCACACACAGACGCACACAAGCACCTTGGTTGCCTGCAGTCCAAACAAATATCTGCTCTGACGACACCCACAATGGACGAGAGGACAAGAAAGAGGACAAGAGAGACAAAGACACAGTGAGCATTGAGACATCCTCAAAGGTAAGACCGATAACCAAACGGAAGCAAAAACCTCCCTCTTTTCTCTCTGGCTGCTGCACACCTTTGAGGCCAGCCTTTCTTGTAGCCCACCTTAGGAAAACATCCGTGCCCCCACACGACGCTGAGCCTTGCGTTTCCTTCTGTCTTTAATCTTGGTGAAAAGAGCTTTTAACAAGGCTGGGGAGGATGAGTGGATCTGCCAAAGCAGAACAAAGGCAGGGAGGAACCAGCAGAGATAGAAGCAGAGTGGAAGGCTCTGTAATTTATCACCTGTTGCCCTTGGGCAGCCCTGCACTCCACGCCCTGGGCTCTGTGTGAGTGTGTGTATATGCAGGTATGGAAAGGTGATGAATGAATTGGCAAAGAACAAGAAAACAGGCATTTTGCATTCCTCTAAAACCTCAAAAAGCATTGCTTTAAGCAATTATTCCCAGTGGAAAGTAGTCGCCTGCTTGCCAAAGACACCACATTTATGCATAACTCCCTTTACCACAAATTTTGACATACGGGTGTGCACTGTTTTTTGTGCCAAGATATGGGAGTTTGTAGAAGCAGAGTGGGAAACCTAACGGTATAACAGTTTCCATAGCAGATGTCTGAAGTACAAAATAACATTTTAAACAAGAAAAGAAATAATGTGGAAAAACACAAAATTAACCAAAAATGTCATATCGTGTCATGTTATGTCATGTAGAGGATTTGGTATCTAACCAGGTTAAACTACAAGTAACTGTATCTGGAATATTCAGTCCTCAAATCCCTTTATCTTTGCCTGCCATCTTGTGGCTTTCTGTTGCACCTACAGCGATATGTAACAGAAATATATAATCAATAATCTTTTTACTATAATAAATTATGTTTCACTATAATAGAAATTACCGAATTAAATTATGATTGACTAGACTGGCATTCTCTAAATAAAACATGCTTTGATTGAAAATGAGTAATGCTGGTAATTAGACCGACGAACTAATGCTGCTTTCAAGTTCTCTAAGTGAGCACTTTCTTCTCAGCACTGAAAAAGACTTCGTCGCGGTTTTGAGTGAATTAACGACCAAACAAAATAGAAACGGCCTAACACTAGTCTTTTGGTATCGTCTACTTCATTTTGAACTGGACGGGAACACATTTTTGCCAAACTGAACAATACAAGCACGAATATAATGACGAATTAGCCCATTTTTATTTATTTTTCCTATGCTCTCGAGGGTTAATAACGGAATATATCGGACATATAATCAATATATGAGGCACGCACAAACCACAACCAATGAAATGTCTGTTCTTCAAAAGCAAACTTGTGTTTCGACCCCTTTGTCGGATTGGTCGTGTTCGCTAACTAGAAAAATCCCCACACAGCCAACGACACCTGAAGGCAACAGTACACGACGAATGACGTAGCACGCAGCTGCCGTGTTTGGTTGTGGTCGGAGCAAGAAGCTAGGAAGGGCTCAAGGAAACCTCTACTAGCATCGTAGATAAACACCCCTAAAGAGGTGTGAACCCAGGCCGCCACACAGCTGACACAATACCGAGAGAACAGTAAAAAGCTTCACACAGCGAAGGTCAACATGTCTGAGACATACGGTATGTTTAAGACTGTGTTTTCATTACATACACACCGCTCTGTGGTGTGATGTTAACCGACTGGCTCTTAGCAACGATAGCTACTGAGCTGGCTACACGGTTAGCTTACTTTAGCTGCCACCTCAACATGTCAGCGGGGTTTTAAATAGTGATAACCACAACGTTTGCTTCTTGTATTTCATTGGAAGGGGCTCTTGTAGTTGAGGTAGCTCCGTGTGTGAGTTGACATCTCTGCCCTGCGATGGCGGAGTGCGTTGCTTCCTTAAACGCTTCAGCTACATGAGCAGACGGATGCTGATGGATTTCCAGGTAAAAGTTGGCCCCAAAACTTGAGACACAAAAAGCTACAGGGGCGTGTGGATACATGTAGAGCGTGTTTGCAGACGCCGAGGTAACCTGAGCTGGGGTTTCAGGCAGATTGGGTGACCTTGCAAGCTGCAGGAGGTATTTGCATTCAGTCATAGGTGTTGTGTGTTTTTGTACTTAGAGGTAGCCATCAGCTGCCAGGCCTGTGATGAGGAAGTTGGATAGTTTCATATGTCGGTTACCTGTAGAGCAGCAGCTGTCGGCCTGAATCTGAGTAACTGCTGTCTCTACTTAAGGCCATCTACATTAGAAGTTAAAGCTGACAAAAAAGAAAAAAGAGACACGGTCGCACCTGTCTGTGAGCACTGGCACTGTAACCAACCACTGGTACTACAGATTAGAAGTTCTTACTATTCTGCATAAATGGCAGTATCAGTAGCACAATTTGCCTGACACCATAGACCCAGCTGTTTTGAAATGGCACACCATCATTCTCTCCCTCCCTCTCTCTCTCTAACACACACACACACATACATGTGTTTCTGCTTGTACCACGTCTCCTTTATTCCTTGTATGAAACTTTATCCCAGTGGGTGTTATTTATGTAGACGTGCCAGCGCTAATGGTAGCTGTAATAGCCTTTTATTGATTTCTGTCTCAGTCTCCTGTCTGTCTCCTCTCCTGGAGGGTCAGTTGTAGAACTGGCAAAAAGCATTGTGAATACTATAAAACACGAGGCCAGGTTAAGTGGCCCCACATTAAAAATCCTCAAATGTTTCATTCATTTTGGTCTCATCAGCTGGGCACTCTCGTGGAGTTACAGAATGGGATTTATGTAAGAAAATAGAAGATGGGGAATTAGAAAATGGTAGTTTTTAAATAGCAATGTGCTTTTTTTTTTCATTATAAATTAGACTGATGCTAAAAATAAAAAATATTTGGGTGTTATTTTTTGTTTGGTGTTATTGAATAACAGCTAACCTCCTTTGGTCCTCCATGTAGGCGATCTGTGAATAGATACTGGAGATGCAATGAACGATTAGAATAAAAAACAATTTATTTTCATTATTTCATTAGTTTTCATTATTACTTAATCAATATTTGATTTGATTAACTGAGTCTGTAAAATGCAGTCAAATGTACTTGGAAGAAGAAGAAAACAACGACACTTGTCTCTTGGAAAGGATTGTGGCCATTGTTACACATGATCTTTTGATTCATATTTTATTACTCTCTAATCTCAATCTACAATCTAATCTCTCCAGTTTTCACATTTTCCTTATCTTGTGCTGCATTCTTGAAGTACATAAATCCATTAGGCAAACATTAGTGCACTTTGTCAGTAGATCAGAGGACACATCTGACATAAACATGAGGTAGATCTGGGGCCTGAGCGTGTTAAGTGTTGTCACAGTGTAAGTGAATGCAGATAACAGTGTTAGTCTGTTCCCTCGGGTTATTTAATATTGATGCGTAAAGAACACAATAGCCTGAAAGGCGGCTGTTGAGAGGGCAGCGCTGCGTTCCTCCCCCCCACTGCTTTGACATATTGACAGCTTGATTGTTGTACGCAGATCTCGCATGGGAATATGTAATGTTTGGGAGGATGTTGAAAAGCTGAGGCAAGCTTTTAAAACGGAGCTGTTAGCTTTTGATTTAGTCAGTTCTGCTGTCACGGCCATTGACAACGTGTGGTTGAGATGCAACGCTGTCGCTGACTGCTGTCGCTGATGAAAACCGTTGGCGCTCGTAGGCTCATTCGCTTTAGCAGTCCCATTACCATGAAGTTGACCTCTAGCTCGTGTTGCTTGAGAAAACACCCGCTTCAACAAACAAAGGCGCACCGTAAACCGAGCTGGTGGCGGCGTGTGAAGATCAATCACATCTGCTCCTCCTGTTTGTTTTTTAACTGCTGTTTGTTGACCTTGTGTGGAGCTGAATACTCACAGGATGTTCACCTGGCTCTTAATCTCAACAGGAGTCACTAATCATTTGCCAGGCCAGCACTCCTGCCTGCAGAGCCAGCGCTGAAGCTCCAACCAGAATCGCACACTGTCTTCAAATTCCAACTATCAGGAGGAAAGTCGCCGTTTGCGCTCATTGTTTGCTCTCACTGTCCATCACTCTCGGGTTTCCTGTTTTTCTTTTACTACTGCTCTATGCGTGACTCACAAACACAGACTCGAGCGTGATTCACACGCACACGCTCCATCTCCTCCACCGTGACGTGGTTTCATTTCTCTTGGATAGGGCAGCACAGCCTACGTATGTAAATGCCCCCATCTTTTCATCACAGCACACAAAGGACGTCTGTGCTGTGGACGGCCTTGCGTGTCAGGGGCCCCGAGTCATTTGGGCTTCAGATCGTCTGCGTGGGTTGGGTTGTACTCTCCAGAGCAAGGGCCCACTCTCCACAACAACAACATCTGTACAACCAGCTGGCTGTGGTCATTCAATCTCTGTGCAGTCCAGTCAGCCTAATCCATGTTCAGTAACTGGAAGGCTTTGGCTTTGCTCTGACGACACCTCAGACAAACAAGCATATTAAATTAGAATAATAAGTAGCAGGTTACACTGATTCCATGCAGGGCTTTGTGATACGTAGGCTAATTTGGGGTTGTTGGGTACTGGGAAAGTAGAAGCTCAGTAGGATTAAGAGGAAGTGTAAGGATTGTCTCTGTGGATTCTCCCCTGACGTTGGTGTTACATTGATCTCTACCTCCTCTCCTCTGCTTTCAGACTTCCTGTTTAAGTTTCTGGTGATCGGCAGTGCTGGGACAGGGAAATCCTGCCTCCTCCACCAATTCATTGAGAACAAGTGTAAGTTTTCCCTCCTTAAAGCCCATCAGGTTTGCATTTGCAGTGGTATTATTACACACACAGTGCTGTTGATTTCATGAGTTATCGCAGGCCTGCCTTTCTGCTCAAGTTTCCACTTGAAAGTTATTCATTAACTTTCATTTGGAATCAAACTAAAATGACGCAGTGAATTGTGTCAGTCCAGATTCTTAACATTCACAGTAGGTAATTATTGAGCCAAATAAATATAACACATGATACAACTGTTCTCTGGCTTAGACTGATTTGGACAAACGGGACCTAAAAAATAATAATAATAAATGAATATTTTTCTTTTTCTTCTGAGCTGTCATTTTTTTTAAATTATTGTTAAATAACAATACATTCAATTCACAGTTTCTGTGTAGTGCAATCCTAGAAAACACTCCAGCTAACAATGTTTTTCAAATTTAGTTAAATCTACACTTCTCTGACTGTGTCAATACAACTAAGTCTATGGAATCAAAATATGCAGTGTGATATGTGCTAGTACTGGTCTAATTCACAGTTTTGCTTTTGTGAATAACATAAAAACATGTGAACACTCACACACATACTCACACACATGCTTGTGTTAATTTGATTAAAGATGTGTTAGGTCCCTGTGCTGTCACTGGAGAGAAAGGGAGGGCATGCTGACAGTGTGAATCACATCTACACTCACCCTAGTCTTTAATGTGGATATGAGCTGTTTGAAGATAACATCTTATGTCTTTTAAACAAGCACAACGCCCCAATATAGTACAGATTAGAGGTAACATTGTGGGAGCAGAGTTCAAACGGTTGTCTCCTTTATGACAGCTGGGTAAGAACACCACATCATTTTGCCAGGACAAAAAAATCTATAATGGTCTTACTACTCAGAACTACAAGAGTTTTTCCAGGCTGGGACCTCGTCTTCACTCCTTTTTCACTCTTTTCTCTCTGCGTCCCTTTTGCAGTTAAACAGGACTCCAACCACACCATCGGCGTGGAGTTTGGTTCCAGAGTGGTCAACGTTGGTGGAAAGACGGTCAAACTGCAGATCTGGGACACTGCTGGGCAGGAGCGATTCCGGTAATGGCCTACAGTGTTTCCTGCTATGGGTTTGGCAAACTTCGTAGAAACACAAGGTTGACATGAATTACTGAGCACACATGCTGTTTTCGGGCAACAGCCAATTTCAGTTACCCACAGATGTTGAGATGCCGGCAGCTCCATTGGAGTAATTATATGCCTGACTGATGATAATAGCTAAAAGCAATGGACAGTTTCTTTTTCACCTTCCCCAACTAAAGCTGTTATTGATATTGTGAAAGCCTTATTGTAAACCCAGATTCTGCTTTCTCTCCACAGTTCTGTTACACGCAGCTACTACAGAGGAGCAGCTGGAGCGCTCCTTGTCTATGATATTACCAGGTAAAACCATTGTTGCATTCACTGTCCCTTTACCTTTCTACACACGATGCCTTTTGTGTAACAGAAAGAACATTTACGTACAATGCTTTCCATCTTTCGGGATGTTGTGGGAAAATGTCTCCTAGACATTCATCATTTTTCTTAATTAAATGACAAAATAATCATTAAAACTACCAAAAAAACATTATAGTCAGAGGAGCACGCTGCCAGGCATTCACAGCAATTCTTTTAACTTATTTTGAACTGTTGAAATTGGATCTGGGTGGAGTTGAAATTGAAATTTACTGACCCATGAAGCTTTAGTGTAAATAGTATTTCACCTTCCTCTCAGTCTATTTTTATGAGCACCTGTGTTGTTGGTTTCAGTCTGTGCGGTGTAAATAAAAGAAAGAAAAAAGAACTAGAGTGTGTCCATACCACCTCTAGAAATTGTGCAATTTAGCATCTCTGTACTCGGACCCAGTGAGATATGAATACTGGAACCCACCCCTCAGTCTGTATTTTATAGGCTTCAGGTTGCGATAGAGGTGTTGTGAAATCAAGATGAAGTTAATGCACTAATGCAGAGAGACAGGAATGTAATACAGTTTGTGTTTGTAAGAATGTATGGGCTCTTGCAGAGTGCAGAGTGGCAGGAGCTGTAATATAGAGGCATCCTCTGGCAGGCTGGCGGAAGGCGAAAAAGCAAGTCCATCACAGAAAGTGTCACCTGCAGGGGGAAAAAAACCAGGGAGAGTGGGGGGAGGAAACTGCAGGGGGAGGGAGCGTGAGAACGAGGAGATGGAAAACAAGAGAGTGAGTAGGAGATGGAGACATTTAGCTCATCTCACAGGTGAAAAGGTTAGCAGGAAGATGAGAGAGAGAGTGAGAGAGTGAGAGAGTGAGAGAGTGAGAGAGTGAGTGAGAGAGAGAGAGAGAGATCCCATCAGCATATGGACGAGGAGTGACGTCATTCTTTGGTTGTTTGTGAAAGCAGCTGTTTAACATTATTCTGCTGACCCACACCCTTTTGCTCACCTCACTGGCTCATGTTACCATGGACACCAGGGTCCCGTCTCCATGGTGACTGGTGGCTCTAACCCAAAGAAGTTTCCATGAAAGTACTTCACTGCCCAACAGACAGGTCTACATAACAATGTAATCCAGCGAGCTGAGTAGTGAAAGACATTTATTCCATTTAAAGTTTTAGATGGCAAACTTTTAACACTTCTTTGACTAACTGATTACATTGTAACTATAAAATGAAGTTACAAAGTGTAGTGTTTATTAGTCATCTTTGTGTTACCCCCCAAGCAAACATTAGGTTTAGTCATTCTCAAGTTAGATATGCGTTTATATAAAGGAAGCCGTCAGTATTTCGGCAAATAAAGTGATAGCTGCATATTTGAGAATTCATGAATAATTAATTTAATACATGCAAATAGGAATGCATTATTTACCACACAGCATACTTTAAAGGCCCCAGGTATACCGTCCTCCAAAACAAACACACAGAAAATGTGCACATAGTTCTGTTTATACTACGTTGGCTGTCTGAATAGGTGGATACGCTGACACGTGCGTTTACTCCTCGCTGACACGGACAGGTGATGAAATTTGCATAACACTCGGACCCTCGAGGCTATCCAAAATCATTTGATCATGTTTGAGGTCGATCTTTTGACAACAATCATAAACTTGCCACTGCGCCCCACTATGTGTCCATCTGTCCCGTCCTGTCTTGCAGTCGGGAGACATATAACGCCCTAACCAACTGGCTGACAGATGCACGGACTCTGGCGAGTCCCAACATTGTTATTATCCTGTGTGGCAATAAGAAAGACCTGGATGCAGACAGAGAGGTGACCTTCCTAGAGGCGTCGCGCCTTCCCGTGTGGGCTTGCTCAAAAGGCGAGGACGACGGCGTAACGCGTTGCTGAATTATCCTACACGTTATTCCTTATTGGCTATCTTCTCTGATTGAATTTTTCTTATTTCCTTTTGTCTGTATTATTACTGTATGCTTCTTTTTTTTATCATTTATGCCACCCCATCCTGTCTTCTGTTTATCCTTCTTTCACTCTTTCTTTTTTCTTCCACCTTCAATTCATGCTCTTTTTTTTTTGCTTACGTAGAGCTGATGTTCCTGGAGACCAGTGCTCTGACAGGGGAGAATGTCGAGGAGGGTTTCCTGAAGTGCGCTCGCACCATCCTCAACAAGATAGACTCAGGTACACATTTTATTCTTATTAAAGAGGTGTGTGTGAGTTGGGCGTTTCTGCGAGGGTACACAGACGTTTGCTTGTTTTTCTAATGTCTGTGCTTGAGTGCATAAAGCTCTGTGGATCTACCTTTAGTAACGTTTATTTATGTTTTTGATGCAAAGGTGAGTTGGACCCAGAGAGGATGGGGTCAGGTATTCAGTATGGAGATGCTTCGTTGAGGCAGCTGCGACAGCCTAGAGGCACCACCACACAGAATAAACAGCAGTGTAATTGCTAGGGCTCGGGGGCCCTGCCCTCACCTCAGCCCACAGGCCCACACAGACAGGACGTCCCCTACAGGTCAGTGACATGTCATCAACTCAGCCTGTAACAGTACACACTTTACCTGAAATCTGTTTCTGATTTGGCTCAGTATTGATGAATGATCACCTTCTCTTCTCCTTTCTCTTCCCACGTCTCAGCTCCAGGTGTTTTTTGGTGTGTGGGACCCTTCTCTCTGCAGTCTCACACACCTTGGATCACCTGGATTAGTGGTCATGGAGATCACTGCAACTCCTTAGTCGCTGCGTCTGGGCAGGGGAAGCTCTCAGTGTGAACACTCTGAGATCATAAAGAAGAGGCTTCCTCTTCTTTAAACAATGGTTTCTCGGTTACTTACCAGACAAGGACGAGTCAAGGGTTGTGTGTATGGGCTGCCCTACTGTTGTTTTATCTCTGTGCTTTTTCATTCTGGTTTTAGTCATACCGACATGCTTTTTACATTTGCACATCATTGTTTATAAATTATTATTGGTAAGCTATTTTGCAAATATCCATCTTTCAACCTATCCGGATATAATTCATGATTAGTTTGGTCAGCGCTTTGAAATTTTAACATTCATAAAGGCACCTGTTGATATTTTGCTTTTTATTATCCATTATTTGAGTTAAGTGTATTTTCCATAAATTGAAAATTGATGGTGATAAACAGTCTGAACGTGTCCTCTTATAAGTCCATTGAAGTCGACATGCACAGATATTTCTTCAGAATTACTGTAGATATATTGAAAACCAGATACAATGCAAGTCCTAGTAAAGGTTTCTGCACTTGTTGTTCTGTATCTTTTCCTGATCCAAATGAAAGCAGCTAATCTGTGAGTTAAAGTGTAGTTAAAAATCTTCATATATAAGTAACATACAGGCCCGAATGTTAGAGCCCAGTCCTTTTTTTTTTTTCCACTGGACTTTTGGTTCGCAGTAAAATGCACTATTATGACAGTGTGTTGGCCTTAGTCATGTACTTGATATTATGGATCTTATATTTATTATATTATTCCTAATCACCCTGTCTCTAAACTGTCAAAGGGAACGGTCCAATCACCGCACTCTACATCCACACAGACGAGCCTGTGGGTTAGGTTTAAAGCACAAAAAAAAGAGGTTTTTGTCTTTATTTTCCTCCAAAGTTCCCAAAGTCTGTAGATTTGAATGATCAGATTTAGTCCCTGTGTCTTTGGTCCTATCACAGTGTAAGGTTAAGAAAGGGCCGTCAATGTTTGCAAAACAAACAATGTCTTTGACTCCTCCTGCTGGGCTTTTTCTCCATTTTCTCGACCTCGCTTTTAATTCATGCTGCACATACTGTATGAGGGACGTCACAGGAAACCACAGTTAGGTTTTGCCTCTGTGCCAAGTTTGGGAAACTTTCATACTGCCCACTCAGTTCCCTCTTAGAGGCTCAACACTGTTTAGTCGAGCAAGGCTTTGAGTGCGCCTTGATGAAAGTCAGGATTAAAAAAGTAACTTTCGCTTCTCTTTATCAAGCACAGAAGCATCTCTGCTCTGCTACAAAATGTCATTAAGTATGCCGAGCCAACCCCAGATGTTTTCTCCTTTCGAACAGACCCTGCGTTGCCCCAGAGACACACAGGGAATTTCCACTGTAACATGGTTTCCTCTTTCCGTGTAGCACTGACAGCATTGGTTTGTGGTGCTGCGGGAGGAGAATGAGGCTGTGAGTTAATAACTGAAAAACATCCCAAACTCTCCCACCCTACTGTTGAGTCAATGGCACTGCTTCTGTCTGAACCACTGAGAGCAGGTCAGAATGACCCCAGCCAAGAGGAGATCAAAACAAACTGCCTGCAAAACCTATTTCTCATGTCTTCTCCTCAAGTGTGAGCATATGTCCTCCCAGACAAGCCATATGCGTTTTAAGCTCAAGTGAGCCAGCACACTTAAGGGAAAAAGATGGCGAGTTGTTCAAACATGAGCTCGTATAGGATATCAAGAGACAGATGGTCAAAAAAAAAAAAAAGAATTTCATAAAATATTGGCATTGTGTGCTAGTTTGTCTCCTTCTGCAAGTGCACTTTTACTTTTGAATTTTCATGTTTTTTTTTGTTTATATGCTGCAACTATAGAATTGTAAATTTTATTTTACTTGAACAGTATACTGTAATAAAGATTTTAATTGTAGACGTTATCATTTCTTACTAAATGACAACTGAGATTGTTAATTTGATTCCCTTGTTTCTGCTGTCGCCAGGAGAAAAGACTGTTGTAGCGGCGATAATCTGCTGCTGTGTTAGAGGTTTGACTTGTTTATTGCCCGCTGCTGCAGTCATGATGAAAGGATGTTGACTTCCTGAGCTGTAGGAGGCCCTCTGCAGCAACTCCGATCACCCATATTCACAGGTTGTCATTTACATTCAGCTATCAAGTCATCTGCAGAGTTGGCTTGCATTCACCTGTATTTATTGTACAGTTCCTAATACACATCCATCAGAATATCCATATGATAAGCATCCATCATGTGATGAACACAGTCCAACTCAGTTGTTGCTTAGTAACTAATGTTATATAATCAACCTAAATTCTACTGTACATCTAAAGTAACCTATGCTGTAAATAAGATTTGTCTATTGTCAGTTGAGGGTGAGTGTTGCTCATTGATTGTAATGATCATGCAATTCCCAGTAAACTGCTTGTTTTTTCAGTTAATACCTTTCACCTGTCTCGTTGATGTTAACATCTGTTTAGTCTCGAAGCTGCTGTTACTAGGTTTAACAAGGTTTAAGTTTGTTTTCCCAAGGGAGTGAAGCACTGCCCTGTATCCTGAATATAGGTAAATCTCACTTTTTCCTCTCCCTCCTGTGTCAGTAAAGTTATTACACATCAAGTTTATAGGTGGCTGACTTAACAGACCCTGAAATTTAACAATAGGATCAATGCACATGATTCATTTGCCTCATCTTCCATTCTTCAGCTGAATCATTTCTCTCAAAGGCAGTCAGGGTGAGGTCAGGATATCAGACGACTCATATGAAGAGTAAATGCCCTCTGTGTCCAGTTGTCTGGATTTATGTTCTCGGGTCGATGGAGCAACAGCTAGAGTGGTTTAATGTAGCTGAAGTGGATATATTGACTGATTTATTGATCCTAGGCAGCCTGTCAGAATGACCTCATAATAAAGGGGAGATGTTTCACCACTAGATGGTGCTAAAATATTGGACAGACAAATCTCCAGTTCTTAAGCAATTGTTCTAATAACTTAAAGAATACTTAAAAGAATTTTTAGGATATGAACTACATTTATCAAGACATATCAGGCAGGAATCATTCATGTATTACTTCATCTGTTTATTATTTACATATAATGGGACGTATGGATGTGGGTAGTTGAATCGGAGACAATAAAACATACAAACACACGTCTTCCATCAACAAACTCACACAGGTGGACAATAAGGGAAGCAGTACATATTTCACTATTGCCTAATTATTAAAAAAAAAAAATACAAAAGTTGAACAACAGTAACATTTGAAACCACCTTTGACACCTTTGTGACTGGATATGGTTAAAATTAGAGTATGACAAGCAATCTCATCAACATTAAAGTCCATCAAAAGAATAAAAGTGGATGTTTTTTTTGTTGTTGCCAAAGTTCGTGAGGCTTGTAGTTGAGGAAGTTAAAAGCCAATTTATTTTATGCAATGCCAAAGGAATTTATGGACCTTTAACAAGTAAATACTGCTCAGATCATACAGAGAGCAAGAACCCGTCGTCCTGGAATGATTTCACAATATTCAACATACTCAAGATACACTGTATGTACACACTATACGAAGCAAACTTCAGAGTACTGCTATATGTAAAATATACTTTCTATGTCCAGGTCTTTTTCCGTCTGAGTGCGTTTGTATTTTAAGTGTTTTAAGTGTGACCAACAAGCACCATTTAATGTAATTAAAAAGAGTTGCGTCAAATGATCTAAATGATTTGAAATGCAGTGAAAACGCAATCCAAAGTGCAGCCATCTGAGCTGACATAACCTACGCTGTTTATCATCATCCACCGCGAGGATGTCTGACACAGCACAGGTTGCCATAACACACAGACAAAATGGCACTCATCCTAAGTACACTCCATTCAATTATGAACCTGCCGTGGTGGGTCAATGGCTCTAAAGGGCTTTCTAGTTGTAGCTTGCTTGTACTGTGATCCAGATCTAAAAATGAGCAGAAGGCGTGACAACTCTAATACCACATCACAGGCGAGGTCTTTCTTTACATGGATTTATAGAGCTGGTTGCAAGGCTGTTGTAAAGTGCTCAATGCACATGGATCATTACAGGCAGTCTCTTTGTACATGGTGCTTGTTAGTTACAGTAGTGCCATCAAATGAATGTTGAGGTTAATGAAGGGAGGTGAGGAGAGGGGGCAGGAGAGCGCAGTGGACCTACATCAGTGTTTTCACACTGCAAAGACTAAAGATAAATGCAAAGACTAACTGGTTACTACATGAAACAACTCATATCTGCAGCCTCTGGCTTTGGGAAAAGTGAAAGAAAATATAAAGTTGATTGCCATTTAGGCAGTATATGAGATGGTAAGATGTTGAAATGTACAGCCTTTTTTTTTTTTTTTTTACCGCGTG